AGGAAAATTCATCACAATCCACGCTCACATTTGGAAAATAGAGCAAGTTCGGATAGACAAGCTTATAAGAAATCTTAAGATGCTTGAGAAACAACAACAAACCAGCCCCAAATGAAATTAAGGAAGGAAATTATAAAGCAAGTGGAAATCAATGAAATTGAGACTAAAAAAAAAAAAAAAAAAATCAATGAATTGAAGAGCTGGTTCTTTGAAAGAATAAATAAAATTGATAATCCCCTAACCCGACTTACCAGGAGAAATCAAGAAAACTCACATCAATGCAATTAGAAATGAAAAAGGTGAAATCATAGCAGACACTGTGGAAATCCAGAAGATACAAACTATATCCCAACAAATTAGCAAATTTTGAAGACATGGACAGATTCCTAGACACATAAAAACTACCAAAACTAACCCAAGAAGACATAATTATGCTTGACAACCCAATAACAACCAATCGACACAGTAATAAATCGACACAGTGATAAATCTACCAACTAAAAAAAACCCCAGGATCTGATGGATTCACTGCTGAATTCTATAAAACCTTTAATGATTTTATATCACCAGTACTCCGCAAGCTCTTCAAAGAAATTCAAAAGGATAGAGTGGTCCCATACTCATTCATGGAGCATCACCTTGATTCCAAAACTGGATAGACACCTAAGAAAACTATAGGCCAATCTCTTTAATGAACATACATGCAAAAATCCTCAACAAGGTATTAGCAAATAGAATGTAGCAGATTATCAAAAATATCATAAGTCAAGATCATACATCACCTGCCTCGCAAGCACAAGGTCCTGAGTTTGATCCCTGGTACTAAAAAAATTTTTTTTAAATTAAAAAAAAAAAAGATCATACATGATCATCCTAGAGATAGATGGTTCAACATATATAAGTCAATAAATTCAATGCATCACATAAATAGAAGCAAGGTCAAAAACCATATGATCATATTAACAGATGCAGAAAAGGCTTCTGACAAAATCCAATACCCCTTCATGATAAAAAGCCTGAAGAAAACAAGCAGAGAAGGACCATACTTGAATATGATAAAAAATATATATGACAAGCCAATAGCCAGCATCATACTAGATGGGGAAAATCAAAGAATTCCTCCTAAAATCAGGACAAGGATGTCTACTATCACCTCTTCTACTGAACATAGTACTGGAAACATTAGCCACAGCAATTAGGAAAGAGAAAGAAATAAAAGAGATATATATAGGAAAGGAAGAACTCAAATTATCATTATTTGCAGGTGACATAATACTCTACATAAAAGACTCAAGGAGCTCCACCAAAAACTCTTAGAATTAATCACAAACTTCAGCAATATACCAGGATGAAAGATCAACAATAAAAACCATTAGCATTTGGGGCTGGGAGTTTAGCTCAGTGGTGCCACTGCCTGCCTTGCACGTGCAAAGTCCCGAGTTTGATTCCTGGTACCAAAACACAAAACAAAACAAAACAAAACAAAAAATCCATTAGGATTTATGAATGGGATGAGAAGGAAATTATGAAAATACCATTCACAGTAGCTTCAAGAAAAACAAAATACCTAGGAATTAACCTAACCAAGAAGTGAAACACCTCTACAAAGAAAAACTACAGTATTCTGAAAAAGATTGAAGAGGACATCAAAAAAATGGAAAGATAGCTCCTGCTCTTGGATAGGTAGAATCAATATTATCAAAATGCCCATACTCCCAAAATTGTTATACACATTCAATGCAGTCCTAGTCAAAATATCAACAGCATACTTTACAGATCCAGGAAAAATAATCCTAAAATTCATATGGAACCAGGAGAGGACCAGGATAGCAAAAGCAATTTGGGGCAATAAGAGCAAAGCAATACCTGACTTCAAGCTGTATGACAAATCAGTAGTGATTAAAAATGGCATAGCGGGTCTGGGGATTTAGCTCAGTGGTTCTGCTGCCTGCCTCGCAAGCACAATGACCTGAGTTTGATCCCCAGTACCAAAAAAAAAAGGCATGGTACTAAAACAAAAACAGATACATGGATCAATGGGACAGAAAGAGGATACAGAAACTTCCCCCAGACAAATTTAGTTACTTGATCTTCAACAAAGGGGACAAAATTGTATATTGGAGAAAAGATAGCCTATTCAACAAGTGGGGCTGGGGAAACTGATTATCTGTGTGCAGAAAACTGAAACTGCACCCTTATTTCTCATCATATACTTAATTAAAATCAAATTGATCAAAGATTTAAACATTAAACCTACTGGAAGATAAAATAAGAAAAACACTTGAAGACATAGGCGTACAAAAAAGATTTTCTAAACAGAACCTCAATTGCACAAGAAGTAACAGCGAGAATCAACAAATGGGATTATATCAGACTAAAAAGCTCTGTACAGCCAAAAAAAAAAAAGATCATTAGTGAAGAGACAACCTATAGAAGGAGAAAAAATTTTTGCCACCTACTCCTCATACAGAAGACTAATGTCTAAAATAGACAAAGAACTAAAAAAATTAGACCACCTAAAATTAAAGATCTAGTCAAGAACTGGGCAAGAGAAATGAACAGACACTTAACAGAGAAATACAAATGGTCAACAAATATATAACAAAAATGTTCAACATCTCTGTCCATTTAGAGAAATGCAAATTAAAACAACACTAAGATTTCATTTTTACTCCAGAAAGAATGGCAATCATTACGAATAGTAACAATCATTAAGAAGTCAAACAATAACAAATGCTGGAGTGGTTGTGGTGAAAAAGGAACCCTCCTGCATTGTTGGTGGGAATGTAAACTAGTACAACCATTACGGAAATCAGTACGGAGATTTCTGAAAGAACTGAAATTAGAAAATTCCGTATGACCCTGCAATCCCCCTGCTACATGTCTTTCCCAAAGAGTTTACGTCATCATACTACAGCGATACATGCATACCTGTGTTTATAGCAGGACAACTTGTAATAGCTAAATCCTGGAAACAGCCTGTATATCCATCAACAGATGATTGGATTAAAAAAAATGTGGTATCTATGTATAAAGGAATACTACTCTGCTACAAAGAATGACAGATTTGAGACATTTGTAGGAAAATGGATGCACCTAGAAAATATAAGGTTGAGTGAAATATACCAGACACACAAACTTAAATACTGTATGGTAATCTCTCATTTGAGAGAAGTAAAGTACAAAGAGAAAAATAAGGATGGACAGAAGGGGAAAAGGGAGATGGATTTCTTGCAATATGCAATTGGTCCAAGGAAACAAGAGTGAGGGATGAGGACGTGGGGAAAGGGAAATAAGCAGAATAGATATATGCCATGTACAGGAACCTAATAGCCCCAATGAAGGTAAACATTATACCCCATAACATGAGCTAAGATTAATAATATCAACAAGAATGAAAAGTGGGATAGTAGACTGGAGAAGGGAGGGGATTAAATAATACACTGTGCTGTGTACGTGTAACCATTCCCCAAGATGACTGTAAACTTCATGAACTGTAAACATGTATTGATAAAAAAATTTTTTAAAGAAAATGCAAAGATTAAATCCCTACCAAGAACCTAACTAGGTGACTACGTTAGAAATTTTATATATTAAGTCCAACCCTGACTAGCGGTATCATAACAGTGACTTCTGCCTTTTCTACTTAAGAGTCAGGAAATTCTAAAATTCTTATAAAATTAGTCTCTCCTGAGAGGAGATTCAAATAACATGATACTGTGCGTAAGTTTCCTTTAAAACAAAGACCAGGGTTAACAATCATTATTCAGATCAGATACTCAAGGCTAGACTTCTCAGCAAGGCAATAAATTACAGTCCTGTAAAAGTGGGATAGTGGAATTGGAGAAGGGAGGGAGGAAGAGGGAACAGGAAGGGGATTAAATAATAAACAAGCTGTGCCATGTACATGTAACTACTCCCCAAGATGATTTTAAACATGTTTCTATACTGACAATAACTTATTAGGCAATGGGGCAAAACATGTTGGTAAGTTTTACTACAGTGTGCTGTTTTCAAAGAAAGGAAAAGGATGTGTATTATTAGGTACCCAAATCGTGATGAGTAAGAACCATGATTTACTTCAAGATAAAACCAACCAAAGGTGGCAGAGGCTGTTGTCCAGCACCTGCAGTGCCCCACATCTGCTATTACCTGAGTCCCCACAGGGATGGCTAACCTAGAGGCGGGGCTCCTCTGACAGTACAAGGGGCAGGGAGGAGGCACAGGTAACACAGGGACTCTATGGCCACACTAGGGTATGCTGCTGTTACCCTTTTTTTGTAGTGGGTAATCAAACTGTGCAGTTCACACTTAGGTGTAATCCCTAGCTTGTCTTTTAATTTTTGAGATAAGGTCTTGCCAAGTTGCTGGGTTGCCCAGACTGGGCTCAACCTTGCAATCCTCCCTTAGCCTTAGGGATTCCAGGCATGTGCCACCACATTCAAGTGCAGCTACCATGTGAAGCATCCTAATGGATGTGACTGGTCTCCTTGGAGCTTCAAACCTAGGACCAGAACAGTGAATATAATACCATGGGTATTATAAGTAAATAATTACAAATAAATGATAATTAAAATAAATAAATCCTGATTTCATTAGGATTTTTGTAGCTGGAATAAAAATAGTGTATGATGGCCATTATTCTTTACAAGATTTTGAAAGAATCAAGGAAATTTTGTCCACTGTGGTTTACTAGCACATATGAGGGCCTTATTTTTGGAAAAAAATACTCTTTGTTAAAGCTTTTTTTTTTTTTTGGTATTGGGGATTGAACTCAGGACCTTGCATTTGCAAGACAGGCACAGTGTCACTGAGCTAAATCCCCAGCCCTGTTAAAGACCTTTCTAATGTCCATTATTTCTATGTATTCCTCTGTTCTTCTTTTAAAACATCCATTATTCAGAGTATTTAGAATACCATCACTTCATCAGAATTTTTTAGAGGCAATGTAAAGACTAATATTAATGTTTTCGATATTTTAGATAACTTTTAATACTTACCTAAAATTTGGCATAATCTTCCAAACAACATAAAACAAGGACTCTGGACTAAAGGCAGTCTGGCTGCCTTGCCATAAAGCACAAAGTGTCTTTCTAAATTCTTCTACCAAGGACCTGAAAAAGAGGAAGGGACAATACCTTTACTATTAGTTGGGTAGAGGGCATTATTTCAGTGCATAATGCAGTTACCTAAAGCACATAATAAATAAAAAATGAAAACTTCAAGAGGAGTTAGTCTTTCCTAAGCTAATTCTAACAGCTAAGTAAGTATATATCAAAAGCCTGTGTAAATAGCAGTAATTACAGACAAAATTCGTTTTTTATCCACAAGGTTAGCTTTAGTGTGCCAAACTACTGCCATATTTGTACATTCCAAATTTAAAAAACACAGAAACAATAAAGCAGTGGATAATTTCCAAGCCAAATTACTTCAGAGTGTCAATTTTAAACACTTCAGTGATGGGATCTTCTCCTCTGCCTCCTGAGGTTTTCCTTCTGGCCCCTCGCCAGGAGCACTTTCCAGACTCCAGTCCGGCACCATCTGCTGCTTCTGCCTCTGAGTCCGTGTGGCCCCAGAGGCTTTAAGGCTCAACTCTGTATCACTAATTCTCAACTCCAGATCTAAACATCATTTTCTCATGACCTTTCAATTCAGGTTTCCCCATTTCCAAAGGGAATTTTCTAGTGGAGGGTCTCGTCACTTTGACCTGTTCAAGGGCTACTATTCTCTGAACTCTTCTGGCTGTCTCCCAATATCTATTCTTTACTTCTCTCATAACAACAGAACTCCCTTTTTCGGTTGAGCACTTGGAATCCCAAGATAAAAAACAGTGTGCCCAACTTCGGGGAAATTTGCTTAAAGAGAGAGAAGAGTTCTTAGTAACCCTTTCCTTTATCCCCAAGCTGGAATGAGGATATAATGGCACACGGCTGCTATCTGAGACCATGACGTTAAGAGTCCCACTTTAGGGCTCGTAGAACAAAAGCCAGGAGCCCTAGGACTTTGTGAAACAGTCCTGGACAATCTCTAATCTTCATATGAGGAAATAAATCATGGATATTTAAGTCACCATTAATTTTGGTTTTCCATGCAAGTAGCTAAACTGACATACTCAACTTCAATTTCTGTATCTCTTGATATAATCATCTATGCATGGATACCTGACTGACAGATATCTCAGAGAATCCCTGTTCTTTCTAACATCTGTAATCTAGTCATCTATTTGACTTCCTGGGACCAGCCCTTCTCCCACGTTTGGGGAACTCCCCACCTGATGGGTCTTGGTGGGAGAGTCAGAGCTGCCTCCCACCACAGAAGCTGAAACAGCCGCTTACTCTGCCTCCCTGAAGTCCAGCAGCAGCAGTCACCACCCCAAGTTCAGAAGTGCTGTACAGTGGAGGCAGCAGTGTACAGACAGGATGGTTCTATGGGTGGCTGTAGCTGTGAGGCCAGCTTCCTAGACCGCAAGCTTGACTTTCTACCTGAGGTAGTGGTCAGCTCACCAACAGCCCTTCAGTAAAGTCCTGTTCTGTCTGAATCAGCCAGTCTGCAGACTTAGCCCTGACTGACACCAATTCATCATGCACTAATTCCAGCCTTAACCTTCACATGCATGCACTTTTCCCTCTTCATTTCACTGCTATTCCCTCCAAGCCAGCTGAATGCAGGCACTATCCTGCTCATCTTACACGCTGCTACCACAACGCAGACCTTTCCAGCACCACTCCCGTGATGTCATTCCACGCCTGTGTCAATGCCTGGCTTTACAGGCCACACATCCTGGACCCTATTCTGCCACATGCTGTTCTACTCTCCCTCAGCCACTGAGGCAAGGCACTGTTGGCTTAGAAAATGGTGTTCAGGATGAGTGGGAATGGGGAGTGGGGATGGGTAGGTTGAGCTAACATTAAATATATACAGATTATAAATCACAGCCCTACTTCAATAAAGATAACAAAAATGTGTGCCTTATAATCATGATAATATGGCAGATCTTCTGAAGCCCACACAGGGCAAGGCTGCTGCAATGAATTTGAATATACAGCTGGTTCTTAATGATCACTTGTGGGGCGGGGATTTAGCTCAGTGGTTTCAATGCCTGCTATGCAAGTGCAAAGCACCCGAGTTCAATCCCCAGTACCAAAAAAAAAAAAAATTAATGATCACTTGTCTGATTTTTTCTCTTTTCCACATCAACTAAAAATTGACTGAATTGCCCTGCAATTAATTTGCTGACTACAAATTAATTTATTAGCCAAGACAGGTCTACCTAACACTATGAGACATAACACTTCACATGAACGAATGATATTCACATCCGTCTGCACCTAGAACTCTGCTGCATGCATACATGTTGATGCTAGAATGCCTGAATCTGCAGACTCAATATTCAGAGTGATAACTATCCTTCCTGTTCCACTAAAAAGAAATAAAAGGACTTCAACAATTATGAACGATGCCAACTGGATTCTTAAAGTCAAATAGCACAATAAAAATCACCAGTGAGAGTCCCTTGTTCTGCAGCTTGAAGCTGGAAAGGACACACTGATCACTCACACATTGCTGTCCCCTTGGCTCCTGGTGTGGTATGTTCTCCTTCCTGCTGTTTTTCCATTCCTTAACTCCACTGCAGGCAGTTCTTTGAAATAACAGCAAAACTGCTCAATGTTACTATTTTAGAGGGAAGAAAATTATTTTTAAAAAAAGAAAGAAAAGAATTTACTAAGACTATAAACCAAGGTCTATGAAAATTAACAGATGGGTTTTTAAAGTATGCTCTTTTAACTGTCTCATTTAAATTGTACTCAATTTAATCTCCTGCATGGAATTTTTCCATACTGTGGCTCTTAGTTCACTCTGAGAAACAGACAACTTTGTAGAAATGAACAAAGAACTTAAAATCTCTCCTCAAAAAAAAAAAAATCTCCAATTTCCCCTGTATCTGTGAGTTGTCGGCATTTTTCTTTCCAGGGTGCTTGATTCTACACAGTGGAGCCTCAGTCACCAATGCTTTTGTTTTGTGAACAATTTGGTTCTCAAACAGAAGCATTTGGCAATGTTTTGTTTTTCTTTATGCACTCTGCACTGGGACACAAACACAACCATGGCCATCTTTTCTAGAATTATTGAACAAATTAAGTTTGTGAACCAAGGCACCACTGTATAATCAATAATTTTCTCAAATAAGAATGAATAATGAAGCCATCCATCTTATTTGAGTATACACACAGAATTATAAGGAAATTTTAATGGGAACTACGTTTTTTCTTTGAGCAAGAGTAGGTAGACAAGAGGCAGTACCTTTAAGGAGACATCAAATATGGCTCTGCTCCTTACAAGCAATATGATTTGGGGAAAACAGTTTAACCCAGCCTTTAATGCCTCACTGAAATCTAAAAGTAAACAACTTTCAAAATAATGTCTTCTCCTGAGGTCAGCCTTGTTGGGTAATTTGTACTGTCTTACATTTTGAAGATCTGGTGACCGTGATCTTATGACTTAGCTGACTGAAATAAGCTCTCTGAAACAGGACTGCTGCAGCCCAGGGGTCTGCAAACTGTGGTCCACAGATCCTATCTAGCCCCTGACCAAGGAGCTTTTACATTTTTACAGTGAATTTTACATTTTTAAAGGTTTGTCTTTAAAAATGAAAAGGCAGAGGGGAGAAAACACGGGAGACATACATATGGCCTAAAAAACTGGAATATTTACTATTCTGCTTTTATAGTAAAAGGCTGTTGCTCCCCACTCTAGCCCCATTCAATAAGCAACAAGAAAGAAAAAATAAGAGCTAACAGTTACCACCCAGAATTGCTCTAAGCACGTTAAACCAATTGTATTATTTAATTTTGCCTACTGTCCTATAAGGTAGGAATGATTATCCCCAATTTTACTGATGAGGAAACTAAGGGCACAGCAAATTGAGGTAACTTGCCCCAAGCTATATGACTACACTTAGTGGCAGATATAAGATCTGAAGCCAGGGGCCAGAGCCTTGGCTCTGAACCTTTACTGTCAGATACTCAAGCTCCGACTCTAGTGTTACCTGAGTGACTGAAGGATAGCATTCATGAAACACGTGTTGCCCAAATTCCGAAGACCTGTAGCACAAATGGCAGTGGTGCTTCCCTGTAAAATGGAATGAGTAACCATCAGGAATAGAAGGCTGCCCGTTTCAAACATCAAAATTAAACAAAGGCTATCTGTGGGACCAAGATAACCTGGAAATGGTTTTTGTTTTATTTGTTTTTTGTTTTTAATAGTAGGGACAGGAGCCAGGGCCTTTGCTCTGAGCTACACCCTCAGCCCTTTATTTTTTATTTTGAGACAGGGTCTCACTAAGTTGCTATCTTGCCCGGGCTGAACAGGAATTTGTAATCCTGCCTCAGCCCCCTAAACTGCTGAGATTATAGATGTGCATCATCTTTTTATGTTCAATGAATATGTCAAACAAATTCTCTTTCTACAGTAGCCTTTTTGTAAGTGTATGTATATTTTTAGAAGGCAGTTTCTCATCCTGGAATTGTTCTAAGTGAGAATATCTTGGTTGAAAGATCATGAGGAAATAAGTGCTAACAAGTATCATGGGGTACAAAATGCAAAAAAGAAAAAAAAATGAAGTTTAAAATGATCTTTACAAGATTCTATCAAAACTAACAGAAACTGAAAAACTATACATAAGACTCCAGTATTTTTGCCCCTTAACTCTTAAGATTTGAATAAATGACCAATATGTATTTTCCTAGTAATGGGATCTGAACCATAAAAAAACTACCTGTAGTGCCAAGTGTGGTGGTGCACACCTGTAATCCTAGCATTCAGGAGGTTGAGGCAAGAGGATCACTGTGTTTGAGGCCAGCCTGAACTACACAGTGAGACCTTACCTCAATAAAAACAAAAACAAAACAGAAAACCTCTCTATCTGATATGGCTTCTAGATGCCCTCAACAAAGCCTTACAGTCATAGGTAGGATTTTCAGAGGTGGCTGGATCTAGGGTGTGTCGTATTGGGATTAAGTGTGTGATGCTGGGATTAAGGACACCCTACCCTGGCTGTGAGTGCTACCCTAAGGGCAGGTAGCGTGGGAGGAATATAAGGGAAAAAGAGCTGCTGCTGTCACTTGCTGCTGCTTGCTTCTGCCTGCCTGCCCTTCAATGGGCTGTTTCTCCTCTGTGATGCCTCTCTGCCATGCCATCTTGCCTTGGAGACAGCTTATATACTGAAACCTCTACAAACTGTGGGGTAAGTAAACTTTTCCTCCTCTAACTTGTAGGTGTCCGGTATTTTGTCTCAGCAAGAAGAAAAGTAACTAAGACACTATCTAAACTCCTCTTAAAGACCAAGGCTTGATTTTTGTTTTGTTTTGTATTGGGAACTTAACCCTGACCCTTCACACTGAGTTACATCCCCAGCCCTTTTAAAAAATTTTTGTGATAGTCTCACTAAGTTGCTAAATTGCCCAGGCTGAGTGCTGAGATCACAGGCATACACCATCATATTCAGCCTGAGGCTTGGTTTTCTGATTAGGTCTACAAATGCACCACAATGTTTGAATACTACACCAACAAGGTAAATCTACTAACCTAACTCAAAGCATCTCTGCCTATAATTCTGGTGGTCACGAGCGCACATTAGCTTTTTTCTTCCAAAAAAATTCTAAGACTTTGCGTCCAAACACAGCTAGCACAACAGCAAAGGGCTGAGTGCAGGGCAAAAATACTGGTTCATTTAAAAATATTTAATGATTGTTAAATTCTGTTAATCTATTAATGGCCATATACCATTATAACAGATGGCTACCTGAGTGAGGGTGCATATTCTTATATGGGGGAATTATATTAACTAAGTCCTAAGAAATAAAACTTACCAAAGGGTCAGACCCATAGAACTCTCATTAGGGACTTTTAACAGAAGGAGCCAAGGATCTTTGAGATCCCACAGACTAGAGTAGCAAGGTAATTGAGTGGGCATGAAGAGGGGCCTGTTTCTAAGGCAGAGGAGCACAGCAGAAACTCTGATGGAAGAAAGTAAATGACAGACACACTCACTGGGGTTGCCTCAAGAATCATTAGTACAAGAGGCAAACATTTTGTAAAATATTCCAAATTCAAGGCACGGGTTAACAAAAGTTTATAACAGACAACATTGAAAGTAACAATTTTAACAAAATAGCGATTAGATCCCAACTAACTCTTATATTTAAATACATTTTACTTACATTTACTTTTAATAATTTGCTGTTTAGTGACGAGTTTTCCAAAAGTTTTCTCTTCCTATACCTGTCAGCTGTGAACGCTGAGCTATTAAAGCAAACAGAGTCAAAAAAGACATTAATATATTCCTGCTAGACAGCAGGCTAAAAGAATAAATTTGAAAAACAAAAAGAATAAATTCGAGTCACCTACAATATCTAGGGCAGTGACCGTGAACCTATGGCACACATGCTACAGTGGGCTGTTTGTATCATTGAAAACTCTAAAGGGTTCGCCATCACTGATCTAGGACTCCATGCTCTAGGGTATTTGAAGTTAAGTGTGGCTTTCCATTTCCCTAGAAATCCCTAGCACACCCCCAGCAGGGACCCAGGTAGACACAGCATGGGAGACACGCCTTCCCTACTACCATTCTATCTGCCTACTCAAGTATTTGAAGGAAGCTTCAAAAATGGGAAGACCCATTCCCAGCAACAAAAGGAAAAGTCCAGTCTGCACCACTATTCTGCAATCTAGAGATTTAAATAATGTGCTGTTTCTTTCTTTCTTTGGATAAGGGCTTCATATTTTACTCATACACTTTAGAAGTATGCTCTAATCTGAGTGTGAGGAATTATAAATTACGGCAATATAGGCATATATAAATTCATTTGATTCAGTTATGCTGTAAAGGATATTCTAAAATCCAAATGAGATTACAAATTCTGAATTAAAATCATTCAAAATTTTTCTTGATTAAAGAGCTGTCTTGCTTAAAATTTATCACAAAATTATTCTTCAAAAGGTCACTTTAAAAGTATTATGTACCAGATAACTAAACTGAAGGAAGCAAAAACTATGGTATGACTAAACACATAAACTTGTAAGTCTGCCAATTCTTTTCCACCTTCTAAAAGTACCAAGCTAATCCAAAATAAATACACCACTGTTTTTCTTTCCAGAATGTCCACAAGAACCATAATGTCTTCGGAACATCAGATCTAATGACGATCAGTTCCTTCAAATGTCAACCTTGTATGCCTCTCTCAGTGTCAGTAGCTATAAACTGAAAATAACATTTTCTATATTACAGTGCTAAATTATTCTTAAACAACTTACATAAGTGCAGAAATTGAGTCACAAACACAAGTATGATTTTTAAAATAGTGTGTTTAAAATTTTTTAATTGGCCGGGTGTGGTGGCGCCCACCTATAATCCCAACACTCTGAAGGCTGAGGCAGGAGGATTGCCCTGAGTTTGAGGCCAGCCCCGGCTACATAATGAGTTTAAAACCAGCCTGAACTACAGAGTGAGACCCTGCCTCAAAAAAAAAAATTAAAAATTAAAAATAAAATTTTTTTAAAATTAGTGAAAGACACATTGCCATTAATCCCCCTCACTTTATGTATGTAAGTACATATGTGGTTATTTGAGACAGTCTTGCTATGTATGTAGCCCAGGCTGGCCTCAAACTTGTGGCGATCCTCCTCCCTCAGGCTCCCCAATGCTGGATTACAGGAATGTGCCACCTCGCCCAGCTCAATTCCCCTCACCCTGAACACACTTATCCCATCCTTCTTGCTAGTTTCTGAAGCAGTTCTATAAGTCTGCTTTTGTGTCTTTATGAGATTTGACCAAAAATACAGTGAATGTTGCTGCCCAGTGCCACCCTACCAAAAGCCAGGCTCACAAAAGCATTACAGTGTGTCTTCATCCAGTTTCTTTACCAGATTTGATACCATATGATTGTGGCTCTTCCCCAAAGTCAAAATGACCATGAAACATAAATGTTTTGAATTGATTCAGGACACTGAAGCAGCCACATCAACACAACTAAAGACACTCATAAAAGAGGACTTCCAGAACTGCTTCAGGAAGTGGTGACAATGAAGGGATAAGTGTGTTCAAGATGAGGAGGAGTATTTTGAGAAGGGTTAATGGCGATGTGTCTTTGGTATAATAAATGTTTAATATTTACCAAAAAACTTTTAAGCATTAAGTATTTTATGATCATGCCTCATACAGTATTATTTAGTAACAACACCTAATTTTATTTATTTATTTATTTATTTATTTATTTATTTTGGTACTGGGGATCGAACTCGGGTCCTTGTGCTTGTGAGGCAGGCACCGGAACCACTGAGCTAAATCCCCAGCCCAATTATTTTTATTTTTAACCTATAGAAGTTATTATATTTATCCTGAGTCTCAAAATGGCAGTCCTCTAAATGGACAGCAATAATGGTAGCTACTCAGTACCTGTGGCTATTTAAATTTAAACAACAAAAAGTCAAAAATTCAGTTTCTTAGTGGCATTAACAGCTTTTCAAGTGCTCAACAGCCATATGAAGCCATATGGTAGTGTAACCATACAAGAGAGGGCAGAGCACAGCATGCGCCCCTCACTCCAGGCAGTTAGTTCTGCCAGACAGTGAGTGAGTGCTGCCCAGATGAGCACGATTTTAGATTCCAGCCTAAGTTTGCAAAACATAAAAATAAACTTAGGCAATATTCTCAACATAGGAAATGGAACTCAAGTGGGGCCAAGCAGAAATGTGGACAGGGTTGTATGTGATGCCTTGTACCTGATGGAGTAGTCAGTGGAAATGAAGTATTTCATAACTATTTAAAAACAGGTACATTCAGGCTGGGGATTTAGCTCAGTGGTCCCAGTGCCTGCCTGGCAAGCTCAAGGTCATGAGTTCAATCCCTGGTACTGAAAAAAAAAAAAAATAAATAAAACAAAACAGGGTACATTCTGGAAAACCCTCTTTTCCTTTTGACTTAGTTCTGATTAATTTACTTCAAACTGAGATGGTTCTTCTAAGAAAACTGTAAATGGTAGAGGAAATATAATAGTAGCTACCCACGTCTACAATGAACAAACCAAGCATGTAAGAGCTTTACAATGACATCACCACACCACAACTGATGCTATACAGTTTATTGTAGGAATTTCCTACTGCAGTTTGTTGTGAGCAATTCCACATAAAATTAAATAGTTTGGATCTGTATATCCATACATATGTCTCTAAACCTACACAGGCTCATGGTGCTCAGTTCAAATTAAAAGGAGGGGAGGGGCTGGGGATTTAGCTCAGTGGGTCTGCCACCTGCCCTGCAAGCACAAGGACTGAATTTGAACCCCTGTACCCCAAAAAAAGGAGGGGAAAAAGCACTTTGAAAAAGAGCCAAAGGGCCAGGGATGCAGCTCAGTGGCGCTGTGCCTGCTACCAAGCACAAGGTCCTGAGTTTGATTCCCAGTACTGGAAAAAAAAATAAAAAAGAAAAAGGATAAAAAAAAAGGGGGGGGGGATGTAGCTCAGTGGCACTGCACCTGCTGGCAAGTGCAAAGTCCTGATTTTGATCCCTGGTACTGGAAGAAAAAAAAAAGCCAAAAGCTGACAAGCCCGAAATACTTACACACAAAGTGTTTTCATCTAGATTCTTCCTTTATTAGCTTTATAGTCTATTGAAAGCAATGAGCATGCATCAAGACTTTGGTTAACAAACACTATACAGTGTTGACTTAAGAAAGGTGGGCTAAATTTTCTCTCAGTATATATTCTGGAATATCTACTGCCTCTGCCTTTAAGTTTGTCAAGGCATCCCTGCTTTGGGCATGTTTACACGGTACCTTCTATACATCAACTGTCAAAACAAATTAGATGGCACCTGATGATCTGGGGTGATTTACAGAGATCGCATTTGAGTCAGCAGTCATTCCAGGCCTGTGATTTTATCCACTGGTGCTTCAAAGGCACTGCTATTTGGGTTTCTATTTATTGCTTCAATTTTGGATCCAGCGAGTTTTATCTGAATAAGCTATTTGACTATACCAAGGAAAATATATTCACATAAATTCTTCAATGTCTTTATGATCTCAAAGCATTCATAGCTCTTTATAATTTCAAATTATGTGTACTGCCTCTAACAAAAAAGGAAAAGAAGAAACTAGGAGGATCCTATACTGTTTATGTAGATGCAAAGTGCAGAATACATAAACCTCATTTTTTGAAAATAACGCATGTTAGTCTTTCTAAGTAGATCTCATAATACATTTGCCAGAGATTTTCTAATACCAAATAAAAGTAACTGTAATGCTTTTATTATCATTTCCTGTACTTTCTTTGTACTTCCAAAACTCCCCTTGCACATAGGTTATAAATTGGTAATAACTTTTTAAAGTGGGCCTTTGGATATGTTTATTATAGATAAAAGACAGTAAATGAAATATGGGCAAAGTTTCAGACATGTACACTCAAGGCTTAGTTATGAACATTATGATGACATTAAAACATGATGAAGTTACAGACACCACAGATCAAGATCTCATTCAAAAATTCTAAATGACTTCAACCTCATTGCATCCCCTTCCCTTTCCCAAAACCCAGTACTTACTTTTCCAAGTTCTGTAAGTGTTCTCTGACTTTCTGCACCAGCCCCAGCTTGGTGTCATTAACCACAAAATCATCACAGCGATAACTGCAAGGAAAATATTAATCAATGTGCGTAAAGAGCTTGAGGAAACCGCAGAAATGAAATCACTAAAAGGCCTGACTGCTGCCAAGATGATCACATGGCCCTGCAGGCAGTTACTGTTGGTGGTAAGATTAAAGAGGATCTGGAATCCACAATGGAATGTTTTTTAAGAGCCTTTTTAAAAAACCACATAGGCACTAGCTTCTTTTCACATTTTTACTTAAAACCTCTTCTGTTCTTCCTTTGAAAATGAGGTAAGCTGCTGTGTGTACATTTTAGTGGTACATCATAGATGGAAAAAGAAAGAAAAATCATCCATCTTCTCATATAGCATTAAGCCTAACATTTTAAGGTCATGAATTTCAACCCAAATTAATGTGGAATTTAGGGGAGAACTGTTGGGACATCTGAAGACAAAAACTAAAAGCTGTACACTTAAATTTTACTTAATTAAAATAGAATTCAGATGAATTAGAAAGAATGCATCTTTATTCTCAGGCACCAGAAAACAAAAGTATGAATCAGTGGCTACATATGTTTGCTAAGTGTTTTGAAGAAAAATGTTTAAGGTTTTTGAAAAAAATTGACACTATGTTTCAATTGCACGCCAATAACCAAATAATACAAAGTGTGACACATAATAAACTTTAACCTGTGCATTAGATTCAGTTTTTTTCTTGAAATAAGGGCAATTTTAGCAAAAAAAAAAATGGGTTGGCACTGATTTTTTAAAAATATATAACTTTGTTTAAAACCACTTATTATAACTACCAAAGAAAAATGTAAATAACACTACTATTGTGAGCAAAAGAAACTCTGAAAGCATAGCAGTTAGTAAAAATTAGGTCATCTCTAACAAAATTTAAAAGACAGATAAAAGCGGTCTATAAAAAATGAGGAATGGGAAAAAATGATTTTTAAAGAACAATCCTACACAAAAGCATAGCTTGTGACTTTTACCCAGGAGTGAACATTTTGAGTGAATGCTTTTGAAAACTTTTAACTGCAATGCTGCTTGTGTAATTATTTAATGCACACCTCATAAAGGACCACCAATGCCATCAATCAGGATTTGTCTACTGCATTCTCCAAGTTCCCAGGGTCAATCCCCAACTTTTCCACAAACAGCAAAAGCAACCTTTTATATCCTAGACCATCTTTCTGTGATCAAACTACCAAAGGAAGGATAATAAATTCCTCACTGGTTTTATGATAAATGCATAAAAGTACTAAATTAGTGAAAAGCTATAATTTTTTGCTCCTCTCAGAATAAATGTTAAGAGGGTAGAGTCTGTAAACCCAGGCTTGGGGCACTATACCTTGATAAAACCTAAGAATTCACTGAAGAACAAAACTGCATTGTTAACTACTTTAATTCCTGCTTTCACTTTCTCTCCATAAACTTACACATATAGTTTGGATAAAACAATACTCAGTGTTCAAAATAAAAACTACTCCAGCTGGGGATTTAGCTCAGTGGTACCGCCGCCTGCCTCACAAGTGCAATGTCCCGAGTTTGATCCCTGGTACCAAAAAATTAAAAAATAAAATAAAAACTACTCCAAATGATAGTGTTCACCTGAGAAATGAAGTCTGAGAGAAATTCATATAAATGAAAAGTGAACCTCTAACCTCCATACACACACACAAAAAAGTAGTTGCTTTAAGAAAGCAAGTAGTTGAAGCAGTATAAAACCTTTTTCTTCAAAATACAACTTAACAGTTCAATAGAAGATTGTGCTTTCATTATGACACTGTGTAAGGTGTATGATAGTGTACACAGTGCACCTGTCATTACCAGCATTGCATGGGAGTTTATTGCCAATCCAGTTTGTGTCAACAGAATGACCCTGTTCAAATGACTGTTCTAGTAGGTAAGGATGTGGCATTATAATGTTTACTTTGGTATTTTATGCAGACAGCATGAGTTACAGTGATACTTATCTAAATCATAATTGGTAATTAAGTTGAAATTTATTTTAATTATAACATAATTAAATTTTTTCTAGTTCAAAAATTAAGAATGGAAAAATTTTTTCAAATGAAGGCATACTACTGAGATAGAATCAAGTAAATCAGACAAAGCCTCACAAATTTAACAAAGAATGGCAATTGTAATTTGCTGCAGCAGTGTAAAATGAAAACACTCTGTTAAAAAAAAGTATTACGATAATAAAGTACATAATATTGAGAAATGTCCAGCAAATGCATGGTTTTTTTTTTGGTACCAGGGATCAAACTTGGGTCCTTGCGCTTACGAGGCAGGGAGTGGAACCACTGAGCTAAATCCCTGGCCCGCAAACGCATTTTTAATAAAAAGTTGTCCTAGTCAAAAAATAATTGAGGAAATTAGTCACAATCAATGAAACAGATAACAAAAATATATATTATTGATTTTTAAAAGATTCAAATTTGCAATTTTGGCCAGCTATAAAATGGCTGAGATTCTTGCTCAAGAAAGAAAACCATTTCTAGATGGAGAGATGAAATTTAGTCTATTATCTCAGCTAAGGAAAATTATTTTAAAATTATGAGGAAAAACTAAAAATAAAAGGGATACTGCACAGAAAAAAGGAAAGATCTTAGTTCAGTATGCTGCTGCATACCTATAATCCCTGCTACTGTGGTGGCTGAGGCAGGATGATCACAAATTTGAGACCAGCTTGGACAATGGACAAGCCTTAGTCTCAGAATAAAAAATCAATAAAAGAGTTAGGGACATAACTCCATGGTAGGGCACTTGCCTATCATGTGTGAGCCCCTGGGCTCAATCTCCAGTACAGGTACTACTAAACAAAAAAAGAAAATTTTAAATTACATGTGATGTGTATTATTTCTGTCATACAGCACTGATGATGTAGGGCATCTGAGACACTTCCTGCTCTAAAATTCTGCCTCTAAAATTCTGCTCTAAAGTACTACCCAATATCTAAAAGGGGCAACTAATACTTTTACTGAACTATATAAAAGAATTAAATTTTATTTTTACATGATTTGTGTAGTTTAAAAACATTTTCTAAAAGTTTTTACAACTGTCTTTGTTTCTCATGAACCAATTCTAAACATTCCCATAAGAGGGACCTATTTCACAATGCATATAAATGCAATAAATTTGAAGACCCAAGGGAAAACAAGATTATTTATACAATACAGGCATTTTATTTATTATTTGAGGAAAACACTTGCTTCCACAGGTCAAAACTAAGGGTGCTGGGATATAGCAAATGATCAATAAATGTTGCATTAGTGTAACCACAAACCTCACACGACACTTCTCGCTGGCTGCCTGTGTTCCCATTTTAATTTCTTCTTCCTGACCCAAGACACGCACATGTACATGCACACATACACACACAGTGGTAAAGGTGGAAAACCGATGAAATGTTGCTGGGTTGCTTTAATCTTTCCATGAGACATTGCTTTCAAATTAGAAACTATTCCACTAAAACTGGCATTAAAAACTCCCCAGCAAACAGAAGCACTTAGAATAAATAAGTTCTAAAAAATTTCTTTCTAAATTACTATAATTGTTTTGAAGCTATTTGGTCAGAATTATGCTTACTTCTAAACAAAATTTTGTTTTGAAAACAAAATTTGAGCAGTCTTAACTTTCTCTTTAAGAGGATTATACCAAAAGTACAAAAAAGTTCCTAACTTATAGTTTGTATTTCAAAAGTTTGTAGACCATTCCTCTTGACTCTCAGTGTTACAAAATATATTAAATGCCTTAGGTGGAAATACATGTTTCACAAAACACAGTTAAAATAGTATTCTAAAAAGTTCTACTCCGCCTTGCTTCTTTATAGCTGCCATTGAGAAACTGTGACAGGAGGATTCAGGATTCAGATAACTTAATTAGTCTTTCCTAGGAGAGGAACTCCGGGACTCAACACTTCTTCACACACTTAAGACTGCATGTACAAAACAAATTCAAGTCAGACATTACTCACATCATCTGATCAACTTTTAGGCTATTAAATTTAATAATGAAGCTGGGCATGGTGGTACAAACCTATAATCCTAGCAATTGAGAGGCCGAGGAACAAATCCCAAGTTCAAATTCCACCTGGGTACCTCAGTGAGACCCTGTCTCAAAATGAAAAATAAGAAGAGATTTAGCTCAGGGCAGAGAACCCTGGATTCAACACCCAATGCAGCCTTTTTTAAAAAAATTAAGCAGGTTTTTATTTAGTGATTTTAGGTGACTCTTCAGGTAAAGAAGCTGTACTTCTAATAGCCTACTTGTCAGATAAGGAGAAAGGTTCCTTTCTATTTAGTAGAGAAAAGCTAAAATATATATATATATCATGAACATTAAAATATTTAGAAAAAAACATATTTAGAAATCATATAGGCAACATACTGGAGACATTAAATAAGGAAATAGGATATAAAAAGGGAAAGTAAAAAGAGGATTGGCATCCGTCTCTGCCTCTAGCACCTGTGCTAACCAATACTGTCCTATTGGCCATGTAAAGATTAGCCCCAAACCTGGCTGGGGATTTAGTTCAGTGGTTCTGCTGCCTGCCTCGCAAGCAGAAGGACCCAAGTTTGATCCCCAGTACCAAAAGATTAGTCCCAAACCCAAATTCCTTAGCCAAAGATAGTCTTAAAGTAGTTTTAAATTTCTTTAAGTCAACAGTTAATAAACTCCTAATTAAATGTTCAGTATGATAATATATGCACACTGCTGTTTAGAATCAAATTTATACGAATGATATCCTTAAACAACAAACATCAAGTAGTAGGTACATTTTCATATTAAAAACAAGTTATTTATACTGTTTAACTAGAGAGGTAGAAAATGGATAAAATCACAGCTTACCTAATTTCCAATTCTACTTGCGCTGATAAACTAGAAAAATGTAACTTCAGTAAATTTATTCCTTATGCTTCATGGATTTGGTTTAATGTTTTTAATGAGCTCAGAATAGGTATCAGTTTGCCTTTTTGTTCAGTGTTTGTATTATTATCTTGCAGGGTTTTAATAAAAATATTTCAAA